ATTATATTTTCATAATGATTTTTTTTCTTCTCAAACCTTGTCTGTGGTGTAAAAACACCCCTGGCCAAATGCCCCCAGAGGGCATCACTACCCACTTTGATATTTACTGTAGTTACCATGTTCTGAACATCACATCCTTTCTTTTTCCCTCAGATGTAATCTATCTAGGTGGTTGAATAAAAATATTTGGACTTTATATCTAAAAATTACCTCAACTTAGCACCAGCAAGCTTGTTTGCTAGACAGTTAGCATCAGCTAACAATATTTACTTATTTTCAGTATGGTTATGAATAAACATTCATATCTGTCTACTCGGCTAGTTAATCCAAACAATATAAAAATTTATACTGTTGATAAACAATATAAAAACAGACGTCACATAGGGCTAAATGCTGTAGCATTTTAATAAAACTGTTAACATTACGGCAGCTGGGAATATGAACGTGCATGAGTTATTTTATTTAATCTGTGTTATTTTAATGTTTCGTTTTTTTTACCTAAAACAGAGACACTGATGTTGATGTGTTTGCATTCAAGCATTTCAGTGGGCTTAAACAGATCACCCAGCAGATTTAGTTCACAAACAACTGACAGTTTTGACCTAAATATGATTTTCAGTTACAATAATTAATCCTAAAATTCGACATTAGTTACTTACTTTTAGCAGCATCAGACGCGCGCGCGCTCACAAGATCTCCCGGTTCTTTTTTGTAAGTTCAGTTCACTGGAGCCTCGCACTAAACGGTTCATTTGAATCAGTGAGTTGTCGACTCGAGAACAACTGCAATCGGTTCATTCTAATTCGTCAATGAATCGTTTGGTGCGATCTGCGAACCGATTTAAAAGGGTCATTGAAAAGAATCAGTTCGTTCATGAATCAGACAACTCGTCTGCGGCTCGGAGCACGTGATATTATAATGAGTAACGATATGTTTTATGAAATGTAGTGAAGTAAAAAGTACGATCTTATGCTTTGGAATGTAGTGAAGTAAAAGTAAAAGTTACTCAAAATAAAACGACTCCAGTAAAGTACAGATACTTGAAAAATGTACTTAAGTACAGTAACGAAGTAAAGCTACTCCGTTACTGTCCACCACTGCTCAGTGGCTGCTATGCCAGAAACGCTCTTGGCCTGTGAACCCCACACACCGGCAGTCATGAGAAACCGGTTCTGCCGATCAAAGGAGATGTGTTCAGGCCTCGCTGCTCACGAAGCTGCCCACAGCTGAGATTGAACACATTCTTGTGCATTTGTTTAAAAGACTACGTGGTCTGTGCCAAACCAGAGCCTATTCCAACCTGGCTATTGCCGAGAAACTTCTTGGGAGGGCCCTTTCTCCAGAATGGTATTTTTCCATGGAGAGATGTACATTAAGTAAACAAATCATCCATTATGTCTCCTAAGCCTGAGGGGAAGTTATAAAGACGGGCTGTTCGTAAGGTACTAAAAGGATTGCTGCTTTGCCGCCCTGACAGGGAAAGATGTGGCCACCAGTGTGGAAGTGTTCTGGCCAGATGGACGTTCTGTGGCGAGACCTCTGGAGCCCAGTGATATGAACAAAGTGATGGAGATCTATTACCCTGAGAATGAAGAGGAGGAGACCCCAGTGGTGGAGATCGAGGTACGTACCCTGTCTGTCATACTCATGTGTTCTTTCGTTATTTGAGAGGTTTAATTGTTGTAAGTAATGTCTATTTCTTTTCACAGTGTGGACCAGGATTTGAGGTCAATGAAAATGGCCGCTGCACTGGTAAGTTTTTGAGCAATGTGACCTTTAACCTCCCAGAGGCCTAAACTCCATAATCCATTGCAACAAATGTACTCTTTCAAAGTACTCTCATTAAATATTTTTTTTAATAATGTTTATTATTTCTAAAAAATATGTTTTTGCTCTAACTTCTTCACAAGAGAGACTTGGTGTTGTTTCAAAACAAAAGTAAACATATATCGGTATCGGCTGTCGGCCAAAATTATTTGAAAAATATCGGCATATCAGATATTGGCAAAAATCCAATATTGTGCATCCCTAAGTTAAATACCATGGTGCTTTTTGTTAGTGTACCATAGTTTTTTTAAGTGAATATTATCTGTATTGCATGCAGTTATCCAAAACCTGCAATCATCTATTATTTTCCACATGCAGAATTTGCAGATTGCCTTTATTAAATAAAAAGCTGATAGGTGCTCAGTATGTCTTTCCCAACTAAATTGCGTCGCTGCTCACTAGTTATAAACAAATATAGTTTGAGTTTGGTCTGAATTATGTACCATCCACAGTACAGTAGTTTCTTGCAAAAAAAAAGGTCCTGAAATAAAATAAAGGTATTGGGTCGTTAATTTAGCAACATGCTAATTGAAAATTGTGAGTCAAGTCTCCTATGTGATTCACATGTGCATAATGTGGTGCAAAGCAGTCCAAATCAGTCACTTATACAGTACGTTTCCATTTCAGTTAGGATGTTGCCTTAATAGGAATCTTAGTAGACAGCAAGGCAACTCAGAAGGTTTTAGAACATAACCTGTGTCAGTCATCATGAGTTTGGTGTAGTAGGAGTGACTCCTTGGTTCCATGCACACATATAATGGTATCATAAAGCATTCACAAGGATTCACAGTCAATCCTTAAACTTCACAGTGTGTACATGACCACAGCATCATGTATCAGACCCCATGTTTATTCCACTCCTCTTCTTTGTCTAGACCAAGATGAGTGCACACAGTTCCCGTCTGTCTGTCCCTCTGAACGACCCGTCTGCACCAACACCTACGGGAGCTTCAAGTGCCGTGCAAACAAGAGGTGTAACCAGGGATACGAGCCTAATGATGAAGGGACAGCATGTGTAGGTGAGTTGAGACTAAAGCCAGATGATTATGGATTGATGCAATAAGGAGCACCTGAGAAAAGCTGTTTGCCCTCATTTCACATAGGTAGGTTTCACTTTTGAGCTTTGGGGCAAAAATATCTCAACCTGTGATATAATATGCAAAGATACCAAAGTCTGCAAGTCAGGAATTTCAATATGAACTCATTTCCAAGTCCACATGATGCAAATTAATTAATTATTAACTAAATTATTATTTTACATCAACTATTGTCGATCTTTCAAATTTATTTTCTCCCAATTAATTTTAAAGGGGTCATATGATGCTGCTAAAAAGCTGATTTATTATTAGAATTATCAACAGTTGTGCAGCCAAATATTTTTAAGTTACGCCTTCTTTCTTTGCGTGAACGTTTGGGCGGCGTTATGCAAATCTTCTCACATCGTGACGTAGACATGTGGGGTGTGTTAGAACGAGCCGTTTTAGGTAGGCGTGGCTGACTCTTAACTTTTATAAAGAATATCTCTTTGGATTTGAGACTTTAGTCTTTGCAACTTTACAGATCTTCTTTATGCACCAAGAGCTTGTAACACTCCAAAGAGAAAGGAAAAATTGAAATCGCATCATATGACCCCTTTGAATTGAAGAGTGAATACACTGAAAAGGGTTTATGTGAAAAAAAAGTTCACTCAGAAATTGCTAGTAAATTTCACAAATAATTACAAATGGCAAGTAACACATTGAATTAAATGTGAAAATTTTAAATTATTTTTAATCTAATCATTTCTAATTTCTCAGTTCATATGAAGCAAATTAATTAACTCTATATTCTTATTGTACATCAACTATTGTGTAATATCTTTCTAGTTTCATTTATCCTTATTCATTTTAAGTTGAAAGTAGTGAATACACTGAGGATTTATTAGAAATAATTTTCACTCGGAAATTGCTAGTAAATTTCCCAAATAAGTATAACGAAACAGTAAGTAACACATTGAATTAAATGTGAATTTTTAAAATTATTTTTAATTTAACCATACTGTTCTAGACTTTCTCTGGTTTGCGTACTACAGAAGAAATATGTCAAGGTTTCATTTGAGTCATGGTTGTTGCTTTGGCAGGTTGTGTTTTTTATTTATTTATTTACTTGCTTGCTTGCCATGATCATGACAAAAGGATTTCAATAATGTGTCAAAACTGTGCTCAGATTTGCAAAGATACCAACGTTTGCAAGTCAGAAATTTTAGTATGAGCTCAAACATTTCTCACTTCCAAGACTAAATGCAAATTGATTTTACAACTCTATATTCTATCAACTATCGTCTAATATATTTCTATTTTCATTTCTCCCAATGACAGCACTGAAAAAAGTAGGATTAAGATTTATTTAAAAGTTTTCATTTAGAAATGACTAGTAAATTTCAAAATTCCAAAGAAAAGGCAAGCAACTCATTGAATTAAACATTACATTTTAAGTTTTTTTTTTTGGTAAAATCTTTATTTACAATGTCGAAAAATATATATATTTTTTTACAGTGTAGTTTGCTTCTCTTTCCTTTACCTCTGCAGCCCAGGTGGCTTATTTTGGAAGAAACAGATCCTCAGCCTCCAAGCTCTTGGCTTCCCATCTTTGGCCTCTCCTACTAACTCTTCTCGCTGTCTTTACTGCTTGCTTGGGGGCATGAAGGGCAGTGCCTCCCCTCTCCTGACATCTCTTCCACCCTGCTTGGTCTTCGATTCTCTGCTTTTCTTTTGTTTTCGTTTTTGTTTGGGAGTCAGCTGTAAAATGAACTCTCCATGGACCTGTCGCTTCTGCAATGTCGTCACTAACAGACCTGTATAAATAATGCTTCGCTTTCCAGTTGGGAACCACAAAAGATCCCTGTTTTTCAGACAAACAAGCATTCCCACTCCATCTTCATGTTCATCAACTGTGATGTGGGATAAGATTGTGATTGTAATGATCTTTATGAAAGGCCGTGTCCCAGCGTGTTACAGGCGATTATGAGTTCTAGTGCATTCAGTCTCATATCCGCTAGCAGGTTTTCCAGGAGAGCATATGCCCGGCCATCTGTTTCACGCAAGGTTGCATTCCTTGTGCTCTGAATAATACATTCACAAGAGATTCATGCCGTACACTTTTGACCCTCACCAGTACTCACGACTGCCCTCGGGATTGGTGCATGTTTTTGGCATGGATGAGTATTGCAAAACACAGTTTCATTTAGCAGAATGTTGTTCAGATTTATACATGCGGGATTTCACAGTGATCTAGCTGCAAAAACATAGACCCAGACCACATCATGAAGTAAAAATTCTTGGTTGTTGCTTTGATTAGATATGATGTCTATTTATTTAATAATTTGCCATGACCACAACCAAAAAAATAACTTAATTACTTAAAATATTTTAACTTTGAAATATAGAGTTCAGTACAGTCATTTTCTATAAGGAGATCTTTTCCACACAAGTAAAAAGTGTCCACGGCCATCATCCAAAAAAGAAAAAAAAGCACCCTAAAAGTAGTCCATACAACTTATGTGCTGTCTTTCAAGACAAATAATAGTTTTGTGAGAAATAAGCAGAAATTTAAAGGAATGGTTCATGCATATTGTATAATATAAATTGAAAATATGTGAATACAATGAAAATCTTTTGGTGTTGGATTTATTTGAAACAATTTTCACGCAGAAAATTGCTAGTAAATTTCACAAAAAATTTAATAATTAAAATAAATAAATAAAAATACATAAAAACATTTGCAAAAAAATGGCAAGTAACTCACTGCATTAAAATTTAAATTTTGAAGTAGAAATATTAAAACTATTTTTTTCTCATGGGAACTATTCATTGTAAAACAAATGTTTCATGCAAACATGAAAATTGTCATTATTTACTGATCTTCATTTCATTTTTAGACTTGTATGCTATTATTAATTTCTGTACAACATGGAAAAGAATCATCACAACTCATCATATCTTTTTTTTCCCTCATACATAGACATAGTGACCATATATGTCCCCAAAAAGCTCAAGTAGTTGCTAGTCTATAATCCATACAGTCTTTTTAAGATATAAGATCGTTTTGTGTGAAGAACAGACCAAAGTTTAGGTCATTTTTTTAAATGAAAACCATGGTCTGTTTCTCACACAAAGCCTGCCAGTAGCTTCAGAAGTCTGGAAAGAAAGCACACAAATCATATGGACCATTTTTATTGTGTTTTCTTTTGATCCTTTTTACAGAATGAGTAAATTCTAAACCGGTCCCCTTAGTAAATGCATCACTATGTATTGTATATGTTTATTTTGTATTCATTTTTATAAATTGATTAAATTTTTTCAACCCTAGTAAGTGGGAATATTTCAGATTGCTATGCAGAATATTCACCAAAGGTGTGGTTCAATGAAAAAGGCATTTTAAAATGCAGTACGAGCTCCGTTTGCAAAGTTATTAGCTTTGGATGTAAATATTATTTCCTACAGAATGCCCTTGACTGAAATGAGACTGCTTATACATGATCACTGATTTCAGTGCATCTGTGTAGCTACAGAGCTCAGAATCCACATTCGTTGCATTTTTTAAACATTGTGTATTGTCGTTACTGGACTCAATGCTTTTGAACAGTCACACCAGTAACATTTAATATGAATCCACTGTGGTATTTGATGGAGGTGTTAAATAACTTCTGAACTGACTCATGATGTGTGCATTGGCTAAAGACCCCTCAGTCTCCAGGGGAGAATAGATTCTCTTTATTTTATTACACTGTTCTAATTTTCCATGTCATGACTCAGATGAAACATGTGCCGACTCCTTCGGGAGACATGTCAGGTCTCACAAGAGCTGACAGATGCCACCTGTAATTATTATTTTAATGATACATGTAGTTACAGTACAGATTAAATCAAGCTTACCCAGTGTCATGGTTACAAGGAAAGGCACAGTGTGGAATCTCAATAAATGCATGTCACGGTAAAGGGATATGTGAAAATATGATCTGTCTTTTTTAGCGATTCTGTTGAAAATGCCAGCATGAGTTTCTATGCTAGTCCAGAGTGGTCAGAGCTGCTTCATGATTTTCTAGCAAAAAGACTGGTTAAGCTAGTTAAGAAACCTAGTAGGTAGACCAGCATGCAAAACACAACATTTACTGCTGTTTTCAACAGGGATGGATACTGAAGTACTAAATGATCAATCAGATTATATGATGAGCAGCTCCCGATGAAGATGTAATCTCTACTTTTATGTAGAAATGGTTTATATGGAAATAGCACACAAGTCTAATACTTTCTAGAGAAAAGATGTTTTAAAAACAGGTTTGATCCAAACTTTTTTTTTTTTTTTTAAGAATTCACTATAATTTGGGGTCCATGTGTACAATAAATTGAAGACCTTTTTCTGATTTGTTTGTTGTTTTTTGTCGCAGCAATGAGAATAAGATATATATATATATATATATATATATACAGTGTTCGAACTATACCGTGGACTTTGGGGGAGCCCACTTGTTTTTTTTT